ATATCGAAACAAGTAGTGACCACTGAAAGGCGCGGACTCAAAGGAGAGCGACATCCAAGCACGATTGCGACGAGCAGACACACACACACACACATGTTATCAAACTCGTACAAACGAGCAGCCGATGCATGCAAAACCGGCCGAAGGCGGCAGTCTAGCTTCGGCAGTTTAGCTGAAACATGTGTTGTTCGGGGGGCCTGCAATGTGGCCCTCCTAGAAGGATACCAGCGCCTCCCTCCGGCACTTCTGGGTCGTTCTGGGACCGCACGATTCTGCTCGGTCCTAGCCCGGCAAGGACGAAACGATGATGATGATACCCAGCAGTGCCAAGCAACGCTAAGGAACGCAAAGCAAAACGCAAAACTGCCTACAGTTGGCTCCAGGCACCCAAGATGTGGCCTGGGAATGGTGTTCTGGGAACACGATGAGCACAAAGTGGCCTACAGTTGGCTCCGGGCACTCACGATGTGGCCTGGGAATGGTGTTCTGGCAAGATGCATCGTGATTCCGGAAAAGAGTTTCACACTTTCCAACGTTATGATTTTTTCCCAACCATCCTGTGGTGTTGGGTCCTCGTTTTGAAGAGACGTCGCCCCGCGTTCCTTCCTTCCTTCCCGCTGCCCCCTCCCTCCTCCCATCTTCATCATCATCGTCATCATCCCCATCATCGGCATCGTCATCATCATCTGTCGTCATCATCATTATCACCACCCATGTCGGCACACCCCTCACACGTTTCGTGACCCCATAGGGAGCTCCACCGAAGGTCCCAGTGAGTGTGCCCGCATGCGTCCCGCACACTCATTTCGGCACACCCCTCACACGCTTCGTGGCCCCATAGGGAGCTCCACCGAAGGTCCCAGTGGGTGTGCCCGCATGCGTCCCGCACACCCATTTCGGCACACCCCTCACACGTTTCGTGGCCCCATAGGGAGCTCCACCGAAGGCCACAGTGGCAGGGTCCGCATGCCTCCCCACCACCCATTTCGGCACACCCCTCACACGTTTGGTGGCCCCATAAGGAGCTCCACCGAAGGCCCCAGTGGCAGGGTCCGCATGCCCCCCCACCACCCATTTCGGCACACCCCTCACACGTTTCGTGGCCCCATAGGGAGCTCCGCCGAAGGTTCCAGTGCTGCCGCCCGCATGCGTCCCGCACACCCAATCCGGCACACCCTCACACGCTTCGTGGCCCCATAGGGAGCTCAGCCGAACATGGTCCCAGTGGGTGTGCCCGCTGCGTCCGCTCACCCATTTTGGCACACCCGTAACACTATTCGTGGCCCATAGGGAGCTCCACGAAGGTCACAGTGGGTGTGCCCGATGCGTCCTGCGCCCGCACACCCAGTTCGGCACACCCCTCACACGTTTCGTGGCCACATTTGGGAGCTCCCCAAGGTCTCGTGGGTGCGCCCGCATTGCGTCCCGCACACCCATTTTCGGGCCCCCCCGCACACGTTTCGTGGCCCACTAGGGAGCTCCAACGAAATGGATACGCACCGCTGCGGCCCCCGCATGTATGCGTCCCGCACACCCATTTCGGCACACCTCTCACACGCTTCGTGGCCCCATAGGGAGCTCCACCGAAGGTCCCAGTGGGTGTGCCCGCATGCGTCCCGCACACCCATTTCGGCCCATCCCTCACACGTTTCGTGGCCCCATAGGGGGCTCCACCGAAGGTCCCAGTGGGTGTGCCCGCATGCGTCCCGCACACACATGTCGTCCCACCCCTCACTCGTTTCGTGGCCCCATAGGGAGCTCCACCGAAGGTCTCAGTGGGTGTGCCCGCATGCGTCCCGCACACCCATTCCGGCACATCCCTCACACGTTTCGTGGCCCCATAGGGAGCTCCACCGAAGGTCCCCGTGGCGCAGTCCACATGCGTCTCCTTTGCCCCGTACAGCGTTACGTGGCCCCATATGGAGCCCCACCGCAGGTCCCAGCCAGCCAGCTAGCTCTCTTTGCTCCGCGCAGCGGGCGACCCGCGCGCGTCGCTGGGACTCCTCCGGGGCGACCTGCGCGCGTCGCGGGGGCTCCGTGCTGCGTTCCGCCCAGCGCCTCGCTCGCCCGACGTCGCTCTGCCCAGCGGCAAGAGCCTTGCCCGCTATCAGCCAGCCAGCTAGCTCTCTTCGCTCCGCGCAGTGGACGACCCGCGCGCGTCGCTGGGACCCCTCAGGGGTGACCTGCGCGCGTCGCGGGGGCTCCGCGCTGCGCTGCTCCCGCAGCCTTGGACTTTTGAGTGCGCGGGCAAAGAGGGAGTAAAGGAAGGGGAGGAAGCGGGCGCGATCCTCGCGGGGGGGCGCGCCGACATTGGCGTCGCGGCGCGCGGGCGATGCCGGCGGGGAGTCCCGGGGAAGCTCCTTGCGGCGGCCACGCCCAGCGTCACGAGTATTCAGAGGCAGTCGTTGTCAAACTATTGGCATTCATACACATTTGCACCAAGCTTTGTCATATTCGCATTCATGCACGTAGACTCGCTCGCACGCAGATCATTCACAGTCAGACGCACGCGCGCAGATTCACCCGCGCTCAGTCTCCCTACGTACTCAGATCAATCGTTTTCGTTCACTTTGTGTACCACGCCACTCATGTCGGCACGCCCCTAGCACGGTTCATTGCCTCATAGGGATCGCCACCGAAATAAATGATCTCTATTGCTGAGTACTCGCACCTTATTGGTTGGGTCCTCGTAGGCTAAGTGTGTCTAGCCTGGCTAGGACGACAAAAACGAACATGAAGCCACGAAGTGTGCGATAGGTTACACTTTTCCAAGGTTATGAATGCCTTTTTTGGAGCTCTGGTGAATACTTTTTTACTTACAAAACGACGCCGTTGTAACGTTGAGATTTCTTGAATTAAAAAAAAGGAATTTCATATTTAAGCATTTCCAACGTTACGATCGGCGTCGTTTTTGTGAAGAAGTATTAAGCGAGAGCTCCAAAAAGGCATTCATAACGTTGGAAAGTTGTAACCCTATCGCACTTCGTGGCTTTCATGTTCGTTTCGTCGTAGCCAGGCTAAGACCGAAAAAATCGTAACGTCCTAGAACGCCATTCCTGGCAATCTCATCGCCGTTTCGTCCTAGCCAGGCTAGGACCGAGCAAATCGTAATGTCCCAGAACGCCATTCCTGGCAACCTCATCATCCCTTCGTCGTAGCCAGGCTAGGACCGAACGCATCGTAACGTCGGAGAAAGCAATTCGCCGCGATGTCGCCATCGTTTCGTCCGAGCCACGCACAGATCCCACAAATCGTCGCGGCTCGGCTTAAACAAAAGGCACCTCCCTGAACGCCATTCCCGGCGATCGCATCGCCGCGTCGCCTTAGCTACGCCTGAGCAAATCTCCACGCACCAGAACGCCAGTCATGGCGATATCACGGGCGTTTCCTGCAAGTCAATCTAAGACAGGGAATCATCCCCACGTCGAAGGGCAACTGCCGTTCCCAAGCGCGCCCAATGTCTGACATGTGACATTGTGACTACGTCGTCCTCGACTTGAGTGAGCCGCAATACACACTAAGGACCTTCGTGACGCTGAATCCCCTGGCCCTTTGATCATTCGGTCCTCTGGTTATGTGGTTCGTTGGGCCTCTCGCCCAGTGGTCCTTTGGCCAATCGTCCTCTGGCCATTCAGCAAGAATAGGGAACGGTCCCAAGACGTCGTCCGGCGACCCGACAAGCGTTCCGACTACGAGGGCTGCGCCGAGGAGCCCAGCCACGCCACAGTCTTGGATGCCCGACCGCAGCGCCCCCACCCGCGAACGCAGCGCCCCAGGGCCAGAACGCGCCGAACAAATTCACCCGGAATCCCGATGGCCTTGCCGACGCCGCGACGCGGGCGACCGTGCATCGACATCGAACCCCAAATATCCCATCCGCGGGCTTCAATCTGGCACGGCTTTTGCGAGGGCAACTCGGGCGGGATACGAAGTCTGCGCACGTGCGCACTACGCGCGCAGAACAACGACTGCACCCTGGCCATATACTGACCAGATCGGAGAACCGAGCTGCTCGCGCCGCGCGTCTGCTGGCGATGGGCGCAACGGACTGCGCCCTGGCAGCGGCGCGGCCAAGCTCATCTGGAAAAGGAGCAACGAATGCCCCCCAGCCACCGCCGAGCCACGTGGAAAAATCGAACAGCCCGCGCCGCCTCGGGCCCGAGGAAGGCATCGACTATGACAGCATGGCAAAACGCGCCCGAACGGTCGGGCTCGGGGGAGAACCCTCAGTCGTTCTTCGGGGCGTAGCCGTCGGCGTCGACGATCTCCTGCATATTTGGGCGCATTCGCGCAATCACGCTCTTCACGTAGGTCTTCGGCAACTTCTGCGCGCAACTCTTGAGCCGCTGGAGGAAGGCGTCCTTGGTCTCCGTCGTCTTGGCGACGTCTGGACCAAGGCGCTTTCTCTATGGCTTCCATTATGGAGAAGTCCTTGGGGCATCACCGTGGGTGTCCGCGGCTGGGAGCGGGGAGAGCCTTGATGCCGCACGAGGATTAGCGTCGTTCCCTTTTGGCTTCTGGTTTGCCCTTGGTCCGTCTTCAGCCATTAGTGTAGATTTGCGCGGGCCCCCAGGTGCGTCCGCACGCCTTTGAAGTTGCCCAGTGTGGGTGTCTTCTGCGGCCTTCTGCCCCATTCACTTGCCGTCCTGCGCGTGCACAGAATGACCGGTCTTGGCAATCCGCCGCTTGTCAACGCAGACCGATGGTTATGCCCAGGAAGATAATGGTTTTCTGCCGAGGCTTTCGTCATGCCTTCTCCGTCCCCTCGATTGGCTTGCGAAGGTCCCAGTTATCAGGGTTTGCCTGTACTTGGCGCGCTGCTTCGGAGTGAGGGGCATGACCCAGCTCTTGTTGTCCACCCACGCGTGCACGCCCGTCTCCCAATACTTCTTCGGGCGCTTCAGCCAAGCCTTCAGCGTCTCAACGCGGACCTTGGCGTCCTCCTCGGTCAACAAGATCTTCTTTCGCGGCTGCCTGAAGCGCACCCCCTTGCTCCGCAGGGCCTCCTCGCAAGTGCGCTGACACGCGCGGCCCTCCATGTCCGCCGCCGCGACCGCGTCGGCGTAAGTGACCCGGTACTGGTTGTTGGCTGCCTTCACCAAGCGCTTCCGGACTCGGTCGAGCTTGTCGGCGTCCTTCGGAGTCAAGACCCGCTTCCGGCCGCGAGTCTCCGTGGCGCCCGCTGGGTGGCTAATGCCCTTGACGTACCTGTAGTCGGCCGATTGGTGTATGGGCGCCACCCCGCGGGCAGCGCGTCGCTGGTTCACAGCGCGGGTGGCGTCGGCGGCGCCGTTGCCGCGGGCCCTGGCGGACTTGTCGATGAGGGCGAGTTCATCGGGCTGCAAGCGCTGGCGCAGCAAAACGCCAGCGCGGGGCATGTGGGCTGGGCGAAAACGCAGCACAAAATGCGGCCGCGCGTCTGGGCGTCCGCGAGTCGGGCACCCGCGAGGCAGATCGCTCGAGCATGGTGAATGGCACGGGGAATGCGAGATGGCGCCCGATGACGCCGAGGCAACTGCAATGCGGCCTGGAGGCGTAACCTGCGAGACCTGCGGGGCATGTGGGACCTGCAGTGCCTGAATGGGCAGTGAGACCTGGAAAACCTGCGACGCCCGTAGGACTAGGGGGGGCCCTGTTGCGCGTGGGGCCCGCGTGACTTACGGAGCCTCCTGGGACCTGCGAGAGCAGTCCGGCTTGCGGGGCCTGCGACGCAGGTGGGACTCATGGGGCCATCGGGACTTGCGACCCCTGTGGGGATTGGTTGTCTTACGTGGCCCGTGGGGCCTGCGGGGCCCGCGGGAGCTTGCGGAAGCAATGCGCGACGTCGACGGGCATCTGAAAGCGGTGGAGGCGAAGTGCGCCAGCAAAGTTGCAATCCAAACGCAAGTTTGGGGCCGCGTCAAAATGGCAGCCGTGGCTGTAAAAAATTAACGCGAAAACCATTCGTAACGTTGAATCCGCCATGCAAAGAGATATGCCAAGATCTCGGCGTAACCCGCCACGGGTGAAGGAAAAGTTCTTCCGTGGTTCGCGTTTATTCGGTAAGAGGCATGTGAGACCAGGGTTCTCTTTTAGTGGGTTTAAACCTTCGGTCCCGGTTATATGCATGTTTGAGGGAGGCCGGCGAATTTTTTTCCCTGATAAATAACGAGGTCGAAGGAGGCCGGCGAATTAAAATTTGAGGATGTCTCGAGCGAAACGCTTGTTTTTGAAATCCCGATCGATAAATCACAGGGTGCGGGCCACTTTTTCGTGTGTTGAGGATGTCTCGAGCGAAACGCTTGCTCCGCAGAGTTTGCCGAGGATGTCTCGAGCGAACCGCTTGTTTTGCAGAGCCGACCGCGACGCGGAAAAGCGCCCCGCGCGAAGGAATTTCGATGATGTCTCGACTAATTCGTTTGTTTTTGTACGATTTCCTGGAATTTTGGCAGGATGTCTCGAGCGAAATGCACGACCCCACCGCACGACCACGCCCCAGCACGACCACACCCCAGCACGAACACACCTCAGCACGACCACACCCCAGCACGACCACACCCCAGCACGACCACACACCAGCACCAGCACGACCACACCCCAGCACGACTGATCGTAAGTTCCAGGGTGCGGACCACCCAGCACGACCACAACCGACGACCCCACTCCAGCACGACCCACCCCAGCACGGACCCGCCCCAGCACGACCACACACCAACACGACCACACCCCAGCACGACCCCACCCCAGCACGACCCCACCCCAGCACGACCACGCCCCAGCACGACCACACCCCAGCACGATCACACCCCAGAACGACCACACCCCAGCACGACCCCACCCAAGCACGACCCCACCCCAGCACGACCACACCCCAGCACGACCCCACCCCAGCAGGACCCCACCCCAGCACGACCCCACCCCAGCAAGACCACACCCCAGCACGACCACACCCCAGCACGACCTCACCACAGCACGACCACACCCCAGCACGACCACGCCCCAGCACGACCACGCCCCAGCACCACCACGCCCCAGCACGACCCCACCCCAGCACGACCACCCCCCCAGCACGACCACACCGCAGCACGACCACACCCCAGCACGCCCACCCCCCGGCACGACCACTTCCCAGCACAGACACCGCCTTGGTTGAGTTGGTTGCCTTGCACGACCACGCCCCAGCACGACCACACCCCAGCCCGACCACACCCCAGCACGACCACACCCCAGCACGACCACACCCCAGCACGACCACACCCCAGCACCAGCACGACCACACCCCAGCACGACCCGATCGATAAGTCACAGGGTTCGGACCACCCCAGCACGACCACACCCCAGCACGACCCCACTCCAGCACGACCCCACCCCAGCACGACCACGCCCCAGCACGACCACACCCCAACACGACCACACCCCAGCACGACCACACTCCATCACGACCCCGACCCAGCACGACCCCACCCCAGCACGACCACACCCCAGCACGACCACACCCCAGAACGACCACACCCCAGCACGACCACACCCCAGCACGACCCGACCCCAGCACGACCCTACCCCAGCAAGACCACACCCCAGCACGACCACACCCCAGCACGACCTCACCACAGCACGACCACACACCAGCACGACCACGCCCCAGCACGACCACGCCCCAGCACGACCACGCCCCAGCACGACCACCCCCTAGCACGACCACCCCCCCAGCACGACCACCCCCCAGCACGACCACCCCCCAGCACGACCACACCCCAGCACGACCACTCCCCAGCACGACCACACCCCAGCACGACCTCACCACAGCACGACCACACCCAGTCGCACCCCCGTGGAATGTTTCGTGGCGTGTCTGGTTGAGTGGGTGCCTGTTCGTGGGGTGTCTCGTGGAATGTTTCACGGGGTGTCTCGTGGAATGTTTCGTGAGGTGTCTCGTGGAATGTTTCGTGAGGTGTCTCGTGGGATGTTTCGCGGGGTGTCTCGTGGGATGTTTCGTGAGATGTCGCCCAGTTGGGTATCGTGAAAACGTGACCATGCTGCACATGTCTTTATCCCTTTCCGGGTTCGTGGGTCCATCATGTTGAGGATGTCCCGAGCGAAACGGCCGTTTCAGGGAGGTTCCCGGAAAGGGCAAGAGCCCAGGGTTCTCTTTTAGTTTGTAAACTTAATCCCCCGGTGCCTGCTTGAAGGAGGCCGGCGAATTTTTTCCCTGATAAATAACGAGGTCGAAGGAGGCCGGCGAATTAAAATTTGAGGATGTCTCGAGCGAAACGCTTGTTTTTGAAATCCGGATCGATAAATCACAGGGGTGGAGGCACTATTTCGTTGTTGAGGATGTCTCGAGCGGAAAACGCTTGCCTCCGCAGAGTTTGCCGAGGATGTCTCTTCGAGCGAAACGCTTGTTTTGCAGAGCCGACGCGACGCGGGAAAAGCGCCCCGCGCGAAGAAATTCGCTGATGTCTCGCTATTCTTTGTTTTTGTACGATTTCCTGGAATTTTGGGCTGGATGTTCGAGGAATGCACGACCCCACCCTAGCACGACCATACCCCAGCACGACCACACCCCAGCACGACCAGACCCCAGCACGACCCCTCCCCAGCACGACCCCACCCCAGCACGACCATACCCCAGCACGACCACACCCCAGCACGACCCGACCCCAGCACGACCCTACCCCAGCAAGACCACACCCCAGCACGACCACACCCCAGCACGACCTCACCACAGCACGACCACGCCCCAGCTCGACCACGCCCCAGCACGACCACGCCCCAGCACGACCACGCCCCAGCACGACCACCCCCCAGCACGACCACCCCCCCAGCACGACCCCCCCCCAGCACGACCACCCCCCAGCACGACCACACCCCAGCACGACCCCTCCCCAGCACGACCACACCCGCACGACACACCCCTGCGACCACACCCCAGCACGACCACACAGCACGACCACAACCCAGCACGACCCGATCGGATAAATCACGGGTGCGGAGCACCCCAGCACGGAACCCACCCAGCACGACCCCACCCAGCTCGACCCCCACCCAGCTCGACACGCCCAGCTATGACACACCCCAGCTACAACCACACCCGGCACGACCACTCCCCAGCACGACCCCACCCCAGCACGACCCCACCCTAGCACGACCACACCCCAGCACGACCACACCCCAGCACGACCCCACCCCAGCACGATCACACCCCAGCACGACCCCACCCCAGCAAGACCACACCCCAGCACGACCGCACCCCCGCACGACCTTACCACAGCACGACCACACCCCAGCACGACCACGCCCCAGCACGACCACGCCCCAGCACGACCACGCCCCAGCACGACCACGCCCCAGCACGACCACGCCCACAGCACGACCACCCCCCAGCACGACCACCCCCCAGCACGACCACACCCCAGCACGACCACTCCCCAGCACGACCACACCGCCTTGGTTGAGTGGTTGCCTGTCGTCGTGGAATGTTTCGTGGGGTGTCTCGTGGAATGTTTCGCGGGGTGTCTCGTGAAATGTTTCGTGAGGTGTCTCGTGGAATGTTTCGTGCGGTGTCTCGTGGGCTGTTTCGTGAGGTGTCTCGTGGGATGTTTCGTGAGGTGTTGCCCAGTTGGGTATCATGAAAACGTGTCCATGCTCCACATGTCTATATCCCTTTCCGGGTTCGTGGGTCCATCATGTTACATTTTCATTGGCTGCCAGACATCTTGCCGAAGCATTCTTCCTGAGGCCGTTGAATGGCGAAATCCAACGTTACGAATCGATTTCGCGTTTATTCTTTACATCCACGGTAATACTACGGACAAGAAGAAGGATGATGATAAGGAGGAGGAGGAGGAATAAGAAAAAGAAGAGGAGGAGAAGGAGGAAAGGAGGAGGGGGAGGAGGAGGGCCCAGGACTACTGCAGAAAGAAGAACAAGTTCCTCAAGCCCATCTTCGACTGGGTCAACGAGAACTCCCCCGGGAGCGCCATGATCCCGTATTGTGGGGAGGGCGGGGGCTGCCCCAGCGGAGGAGGGCCACGCCGAGAGGCGACGGCGCCCTTCCCCACGTTTGCCTCGTTTTGCGGGGGGAGGGCCTTCATTCCCGGGGGGCTTCTCGTCTCCACGGCCGGATCCGCTTCGGGGAGTTGGCAGAAGCGGGCCCCTGGACGAGGTCCGGGGGGACCCAGACATGCCGGCGTCGTGACAAGAGCTAGGACGGAAGGTTTGCCACCGTTCATGGGCCTCTCGGGGCCCTCACTGGGCCCCGGGACCGTCAAAAAAGGACGCGCGATGAAAGACCGGCCCAGGGGAAAGGGTTGGGCCTCCCGGGCACCGCGCATGGAACAATTCTGGACATCGCATGTCTAGACTGGCAGAAGCGGGCTCCTGGACGAGGTCTGGGGGA